TTTTGTAACAAAACCATGAAAAAAGCTGAATTGTATTATAAATATCTGCAAGCTTGATTAATAAGCCAACTATTTTTCTAACTTCTTAAGCTTGCTGGTCAAAAAAGGCATGCTCATAATTTATAAGGCATTTTTCAAATTGTCACCAAACTGCTAAGCATGTTATCGATGATATAATGGTCCTGGAAGATGATGTGGAAATTGAAATCTGAAAGTAAATTATCCTGGGCTTAAGTAAATTAGATTTAGATCTATAAAAAAATAAATAAAAAGATAAAATTAAAACCTGCCAATTGGGCATAATTTATGAAATCTCGAATTTATCCTTGATAGTGAAAACTTACAATTATATATTTGGTCACAGAACTACAGTTTTCCCCCCAAAAAAACTCTCCTTATTTACATAGTCTAATCACACACTATATATACAAAGCTAAGTGTTAAATAGATGCTTGAAGATTTAAATAACCGGTTGTCCAATCAGGGAGCTTCATATATTTTTGAAAAGGCTGCATTCTACAGAATCCAATAATACGCATTCTTTTGAGATAGACAGAAACTCTCGGGGATCACAGGCAAGCGTAGCAGAGGTCATCCTGAATTACCCACAGGTAGAGTTTTAATATATTAGAATTTATGTATGGGAGCAATTTTGTTGCAAAATTATTTAAAAATGTGTGTGGAGAGTTGTGTGTCTGCATCTAGATTTGTGTGTGTGCAGTGGGATTTGAAAATGTGTGAGATTTTATGTGACACTACGAGCATCTGCAAATGTGTAAAACAACTTGTTTGTAATTGATTTGAGAATATTTAAAAAATCCACAAATCTGTTTTCAGATTTACAAATGTATGTTAAGATTTGCAAATGTGTACTAAGATCTACAAATGTGTGGATCAGTCTGTAAACACAGTCACTTAAGTCTGAAGTATTTTTGTTTGAACACCCAGAAATACAGACAAATCGTTGGTTACAAGTCAAGCAGTTTCTCGGTTGGCTCTGTTTACACAGGATTTTTGCTACACTTCTGCTGTGTGAGATCTACGGAAGAGGATTAGTTTTTGAAATTTTATTTCAGCATAATATATATTCTGTGTTACTAGCCCTTCCAAGCAACTCACATCTTTGTCAGTGAAGCTGAGTGCTCTCACATCTCTTCCTTCATGGTGCCCATCTACAAAATTCTGAGATTAAAGTCAGAATTTTGACTTTTTTGCAGTTTATCATAAAATCAGCTTTTCTGACCATCCGTAATTACTTCTAAATGAGGAATCAGGTGATGCCACTTGAGATATCTCAAAAGGCATTTTGACTCTCCAAAATGTGATTGATTGATATCTTGAATTGTTATTTTCACTAGTCATAGTATAATTTCACATATCTTAAAGTATGATTCAGGTTCAGTTAAAACGTTCTCTTTGATATCTTAAAAGTAATTACGGAATTACGGTCAGAAAAGCTGATTTATGATAAAAGGCCGCCATAAGCCTGGGAGCTCATGGCGGATCTACACATTTGTAGATTTTAGTACACATTTGCAAATCTTAACATACATTTGTAGATCTGAATACAGATTTTTTTTTACACATTTCCAAATCAAATACACACAAGTTATTTTACATTTGCAGATACTCGTATGGACAGATAAATCTCCTCACACATTTTCAAATATGCGGCACACACACATATCTAGATACAGACACACAACTCTCCACAAACATTTGCAAATAACTTTGCAACAATATTGCTCCCATATGTATGCTGGTGAGAATAAACTTTTACCTAAATAATAGGCTGGATATATTCCAGAAACTGATTTTATTTAGATGGAAATAGGTTTTGATGAAAAAAAACAGCAAAGGTAAGACATATTTACTTTGCTTTTTTGGGTTTCGCTGATGTTTTTGGAGGACTTTGTTAAGTGATCAGCTGCAAATGATCAGAGCTTTGCTAATGAGCTTGACTTTGATGGATTTTGTGTCCTGTGGCCTTTATATTAGCAATGCATCACTGCGCTGCTACAAGCCCACAGAAAGACAAACTGGGTCAAAAACTGCCTTTTGCCTGTCTGAGAGCTTTTCGGCATGGTAGAGCTGAAGTCAGTGGATAATACTAGTAGAGACAAACGATAACTGTGTGTAAGTCTCAGAGTTAGTGAGCTACAAACTTATTATTGTTTTAAAATAGCTCCATCCCCCTTTAAACTGGGTGCTAGTGCTTACTAATGTATTGCTCATTATGAAGTATAAAAAATTGGGCCAATGAAGTACAGACGCTTTTACTTGTTGGTGTTATTATTTTTAAAGTCTAAATAAGGAAACCAGCTAATCTTTGCTTTAGGACCCATTTGGCATTTAAAACCTGCTTTTGTAGTTATTCAACACATTTCATACATATTGTCTTTCCCTGTCCATATAAATGACCCTATCTCATTTTGTTACCTTTATGGTGAGTTTCAGGTTAATTTCTTCCTTCTTCAGGTAAATGTTCATCTGGAATTTGAATGCTTGTAATTATTTCAGCTATATAATGTACAGTATAAGGGCATTACTTTCCATTCAATGCAATGAGAGGGATCAATTACCAGACTAATCCGGGTTACAGGTGAAATGATGCATGGAAACAAAAGCGATTTTGCTTGTTGGAAGGTGGTGTTTGTTCCTGATGAGGATTTTGAAGCACGTAATGGCAGCAGCCTGATGGGCTGTCATTACAGGGAATGTGAAGAGGATTTATGAAACGTTTGAAGGTTTTGAGCAGATTATACAGGAAAACTGCCTCATGACTGTCAGCTAGATTATGCTTTAGAGTATTACTGAGGTGTGTATTTCCAGTGTATATTCCCAGTTCCTCAGTTTACCTCTTAATCTTCCTTCTTCCAAAGTTCTCACTTCTGTTTGCTCTTTATTTTTCTCATGTGGAAATGCAGCAGAACAGCTGAGATTGTGCTGATAAACAAACATTTGAGCACATTAATGTACAGAACCCAGTGACCATACTATGCTTGGCAAAGGGGAAACATCATATGACAGAGCTGCCATTAAGTGTGCCGACCTATGGTAATGTCTTTACCCATATACCTTAAAGATTCATTCAAAGCTGTAACATAGATTCATTTGCTACTCCTTTGTTTGGGAATGAATAAGAAAACTGGTCCATAATAAAAACAACTTGTATAGTTTTAACATAAACTATGAACCTGTGCAGTTTCTAGATACATCTTCTGTGGCTTTCTGAGGAAATGTTCTACAATATTGCACAAACTTAACCCTAAACCCGTTCCCCCGGTGCAGCACACTTAGACAACATTTATTAATGAAATTTTGTTTAGTACAGCTTTTCAGAGAGTACATGAACATTTCCATTCCATAAAGTGCAGCAGTTATGAAATCTAAACCGTGTGGGTCGGAAAAAAAAAAAAAATGATGAAAAAAACACATTTATATGGAAGTTCAGAGCATTAATATACATGACAGGGCTCGATGTTAACCATTGCCTGATCGCCCGGGGCAAGTAGTTTTTATTGTGGGGAGAGTACAAATTTCATTGCATTTGCCCGCTGGGAGAGTGCAATGATTGCAAAAATCACTCAAAATTACTTTAAAATCACTGACATTCGATGAACGACCCAGAAGCGTTGCCGGCGCCATTTTTGTTGTTTTGTACACATTCTCGCG